CTGAGATTCTACACGCACGGTGGATTTGAATGATATATAGCGTAATATGAATTAAATGGGGTTTTTAGGAATGACAATGATGTGCGCAGTACAGTAACGAACGTAAGTATGTGTACATTTTCATATTTGCTGAACACTGTAGCGTAGTGAAGGAGGGTTGCAAGTGGACAATTAGGTCACCCATTTGTATTGGTAAGTCGAAAATACAAGGTAAATCTCCTGTTTACATTAAAAGTGAGTTATATTTAGCAATCAATAAGGATAATTATAATCTTAACGTTATTTATACGTGGAAACAATGAAAAGTGCTTCTATGATACCACATTTTATAGATATCTTAAAATTTTTAAAGACGCTGGTTTAAGATCGATAAGACACTACTTTGTTTGGGTCGAGTACAGTACATTTAGCACTGGTATATTTAATATAATGATATGATAGTGAGCTTCAGATATTCAATATTATTTAAGTCTATCAGTCAATTTATCCACAAGATCCCTTTATATCTAACAGGCAGTGTTTACCTCACCAGCGTTATGTAGTAATTGATAATATATTCGAAAGTATAAGTAAAAAAAGGTGCTACCTATAGAAGACAATTGAACATCTTTCAAAAGTATTTAAGTACAAATATCAAGTATCTGATTTGAAAAGTAACAATAATAAAAATTAAAAAAAAATTAAAATGACATTAGTGCTCATTGATAAAATTATCTTTGTAGAAATAAACTTTGACTTAGATATCAGTGAAAGGCTTTATAAACAGGGCATGACTCCCAGGTTACAAGATATAGTAAGATGGTCCAGTTCTGTAGACTATCAGGTGGTCAAGATGGACCAGTAAATACCACATCATTACTTGTTAGAACCACGATACAACCAGGACAATCTAGTCGGTAATATCATACATGATACCAACGGCCACCAGCATCGTTCATTGGGGTCAGTTTGAGAAGCATGAGAGCGGAGTTTTGGTGGTTCACTTGTTGTTTATTGTTCAAAATAACCTTCATGATACTTTCATCATCACCCTTGTCGTCCTTCCAACCACCAGAACCTCCTTGTCTTGTACCCAACCTCATTAGGATAACCTGTATGTACTCTGGCTGACGATAGCAATCTGGACTAACCTCTGATTTGTGACGCCATCGTCTTCCTACACCCAAATGGGCCTCACACCTCTATATTCATCAGACAGGATTTGTGACACAAGAAGGTTCGCTAATTGGAGAGCAACTTACGATACACAGATGCTGATTGTTATGTTATTCGTGGCGCTCATTATACCAACAGCAGCTGATAAGTATATGAAGACATATGTCATTATTACAAGATATAAAACCCACTCAGCTTATCTGGAGATGTGAACATCGAAACTCTTAACAAAATCTCTGGTTTATCTCGGCAGATAACGGGATTAGACGAACGACCACTGAGTACTTCAACCTGTACACATCCGCCTTGTCATTATTTAACCATGCGTAGGTTTATTAGCCAATGTCTTCGCTGGTTGATGAGGCACAAGATGTTGAAAAGTACATCAGAAACCATTACTATCCAACAACTTTATTATTTATCGATTATGAGTGAGGGATTAGAATTAGGTAGAAGCGTAGTACAGTTGTATCGACTACAACAGCAAAGGTATAGAGTGAGAACAGGGAGGTGCTTAGAAACATTACGCCACACAAGCACGGCCCTGCAACTCTCCAGAACAGCAGCTTTAAATAATATTTATGGTTGGGAAAGTGACTTAATCATACTCCCGTGGTTGTTGTGGTGACTTAATGATAACTCCCATATATGGTAGTGACTTAATGATGCTCCGATACTCGTGATAGTGACTTAGTAATGCCGATATGGACACATTCGCTGGTGCAATATGAGACACGGGTCACCTTGCGTCGTCGGTCGGGTCGGTCGTCTAAGCACAAGCTCTATATAACAACATCCGAAGGCACACCGACGGTACTTTGGTAATCTTGAAGTGGTCTTGATTACGTCTCTTAAGTATTCTCCCCCTCCTCCGTCTCCTCTCCCTCCCTCATCCTCACATCATTTACCCCACCTAGACAACACCGCCTTGTACAGGAAATATTTACAGATAACCAAATAATTCAGAGATGAGTGATAGGTTGAACACTTGAGCTCATTGAAGAAATACTTTTGTTATGAAGGATATTACTCATAGAAGTTTGTATAATATCCATGTTTAATAATTACCTTTATTAACGATATTCTCATTAGCGGGAGTTATTTATCCTTTTATTTTGTTAATTAAATCAGTGGGACAGGTGAGTAAAGAGTTTGGATTATAATGTAAATATTACCCGAGTCTTGTTCACCTAAGTCTCCCGGTCACCGAAGTCGACACAGGTAAGAAGTACTCGCGCTGACCTTATGACCTGATGACTTGAACTAATACTAATATACTGTAATATTCCTCTCACCATCACCCTACTTCCGACCCTGATGATAGTGATAAGATCCCACACGGAAGACTAACGAGGGAAAATATACTGTATACAAAATAAATAAATGCATAAATTTGAAGTGCATAAACCATTAGTACCCAAATTAGATTCCATATTTTTATCGGGAGTTTACAATATTTTAATGTTTGGGGCGACGATCATTTGATGCAATGTGTATTCAAACTTCATTCTTATGTAAACGTGTTCTGAGTTTAATATCTTTATATTAAAAATCGCCTCCTTCTTGAGCCGGATTCTTTAGCAGTTAACCATATTTATCGTAGAAAATATATTTGGGGGCGAGAAGACATATATGAATGGGTAACTATGACAGTATTATCTTAGGCATACTTCCGCTGATAAATTATTACTCACAGAACTGTATTTGTTTAACATTTTAAAATGAACAAAACTATAAAGCTTAGACTTACCTTTGAGTTGCCATAAAATCGCGCCAACCCATTCAAATGTCAGGAAAAATCCAAGGGGAACAGTTGTGAGTCGTCCTTAAAGTGTTACCCTCATCATCACAATATCGCGTCTTTTCTTCTTCTTAATGTCACCAGACGCAGCAGTACCGATTTTAATTTCACTCCTCTTTTCATTCATAGTATTGTAGGTATAAAGATGTATTTGGTTACAATACAAAACACACTGTACTGTATACTAAACACCCGCCTCTCTCAGCTACACGGGTGAACTAACAACAGAAAAAAGTGAAGAACGATTTTATTTTTATTTTGGAAATGGCCTAAACTACTAAATTTTCAAAGGAACAATAGTACTTTACCAGTAAATATAATATAAATGATAAAATTTTAATAGTCTCTGTATTAGTATTAACAGTAATGCATTATAAGTATTAAATGATAATAGTACCTGTAGTAGCAAAATAATAATACTTATTGTATATGAACGAAAAATTTGGCAGGTTACTCAAATTATACTGGACTAGTCTTTAAGAATAATCAATATACTATAGTCATTCTACATTCTAAATGATGTAGGAAAATAATGAGCATTATTCAAATGCTGTGGCAGGCCATTTGTTAATTTACACCTCATAATGCATCTTTACTGTACTGTAAATTAGTGGTTAATGGTACAGGTACAGTACTTTTGTTTAACTTAACTGTGTAATGCTATCATGTCTCTAGTTGTTTACTGTTTTCTTGAGCCCATTCCACCCTTTGATGCCTGAGTGAACTAATGCTTTTGTTGGAGTATTGTTGAGTCTAGGTAATGGATATTCCTTACCAGGGCTACCAGTTGATCTTGGTTTAAGAGGTAAAATGACATGGAATTCTGTTTAGAAAGAAAGTGATTCACTGTAACAAAAATTAGTACTTTATTGGGCGACTTAAGTATGAGGTTGCCATTATTTTCATGTCACTGGTCCAGAAGCTCAAGCAGGTAGGGTAGTCCTAATTTATTGCTGGAAACCATGTTTAAGTTTTAGTCCAATAATTCAAATAATCAGAAAATTCAACCCATATTTGCCTCAATAGTGATATTTTACTGTGAAATTGGGTCCCATTGGCATGACTGCCCATTAGTGGATACAGTGTGGATACAGCAAACTGAATACTAAACCTTTGGTTCACAAGGAGGCTGTATGGCCGGTAGTGCACTCGACTGCCTTCGCTTCCACAAGTCATAAACATAGGTACCCATTTACAGCTGGGTGAACTGGGAGCGCCTGGGAATCAAGGCACCGACCCCCTGAACAGGAAAGGTGCACTGTATCCACTTGACTGCTGTGCTCACCAGATTTTACTACACATGTACAAACAAACATACCAACCAATTTGCATTTCATCATCTTTCATTACACCTGAATCTTTCACCAACATACACTGAGTTTTTCCATCTTTTCTCCAAGTTCTTATTTTTCTTTTTACACAAAATCAGACAATGAAACAAATATTGTATTATCTTATTACATCTGTTGAGCACAGATATAAAATTAATAATTGTATTTACAATAAAGTATACAACATCTGTCACCATATTACAGTTCTTAATACTGTACTGTATTGTGAGTTACAATGACATGATATTGTTTGGAAGATCCTTTGGCTTGCAATTGTTTATTCCAATACTTCTACATGACAACAACCTGCTCTGCAAAAAAAAAAAAACACTCTATATAACTATTGACCAATGATACTACTACTTCAACATAATGGGGTGGAACAGCTGCATTATGTTCTTGTTAACATCATATGCATACCTGTGTTACAAGAAAAAACAAATATTTAAGCCACATTGTCGTATTTAATCCGGTTACTGGGAGATTTTCTAACCACAGAAAAAATCTACATGTTTTTATTGAAATGAATCCTGAAGAACATCCGGGTATGGTTCTCGTATAATATATATCTGTAATATATAATATATAATATATAATATATATATATATATATATATATATATATATATATATATATATATATATATATATATATATATATATATATATATATATATATATATATATATATATATATATTATATATATATATATTTATTTATTTTATATAACAATCTATCACTTTACTGATTATATAACAAAATCAATATCTCTTTCCCCCCTCACAATTTTTAAGCGTTATGTAAAATCTTACGCCCAAAACTTATATAAATTTACTACAACAATACAGTAGTTTGGGTTACTAGTCTCACTTCACAAGATATTAAGCTTCTCTCCGTGCCCCATCAAAATATTCATTTGCAACAGTTTCCAAGTCAACTCCAGTATCACCACACATTAAATCTTTTGCCGGCTTAAACAATGCTCAAAGCAATTTTCATTGTAAACATTATCAATACTGATTTTTTTTCTTACACAAAAGAAGTTTTAATCACATGTACTGTCTTACACATTCCAATATTCAAGTCACTGAGGAAATGTTTTTACACAATTTCTATCCTTCATATTTGGCTACTGAAAATAAAAAATAAACCTTCTTGTACATCAGGTGACATACTGTTCTGTTGGAAGATAATTGAAAGACATACTTTTAACAAATCTGTACAACAATATAAAAGGCTTCAATACAATTTACAAGGAGGCAGCCATTGCTTCACCATCCCCTTTCCTAAAGCCTGGTATACCATTCTGTCTGGAATGTGTGGACGTTGACAAGTCTGTTGGCTGAGAGTTCAAATCAGATTCACTTTGATGAGTCAAGGTGTGTAATTTAGCCTCTCTCTTTTGGTTCTTGGAGTGGAGTTTCAGTATGTTCTGTACATTCTGACAGTGTCCTTTTGCCTCAACCTGATGTTTCTTTTCTAATTTGTGGCGAGAATAATAACTTGGGTTGGGAGAAGACGATGGAGAAATACCAAGTCCAGGTAAGAAGGTTTGAGGAAAAACTTGGCTTGGAGAAGAAGCATGTGAAGATATTTGACTGGGCGAAGAAGATCGGGAAATGGTTTGGCTTAGAGTAAGGGGTCGAGGTGACGCCTGACAGGGTGAGGAAGATCGAGAAATCGTCAGACTTGGCATGATGCGAGGGGATGAAGCCTGGCTAGGAGAAGTGGCACAGGATATAGTTAAATTTGGCATAAATATTTTGGTTGAAGCTTGCCCTGGAGAAGATGCTTGAGACGTCTGGCTTGGGGATGATGATCGGGATATTGTGAGTCCGGGCATGAATGGGCGAGAGCTAGTGCTGGCTGGTGAGGTGGTGACTGAAGCTGACTCATTCCAATGAGTGGGGACATTGGGAGAGCTGGCTTGTGGAGATCCTGATTTCTGGAAGGTGAAGATGAAGTCCTGAAGTTGGTGGATTGCACTGCGGACTCCATCCTCCTTATTTTGCAATTTTGATCTCTCTGAGCATTGTGCCTGTGAAGTAAACATAAAATGCTGTCAATTAACTTTCAAGGGTTCTAATCATAAATTGGTTTTACCTAATAAGCCCTTTGTACAGGTACTGATAGTTAGCCTTTGGTACTTTAAAAGTATCAGGTAGAGTAACAAGCATGACCTCCCACACCCCAAGTATAGCAACATTATTACTTTTGATTGCTACAACATCTAATATACCAGATCAAACTCCAAAGAACCACAATTTTGGCAACTAATGACAAATGATAAAGCTAATAATCAAATTTATCTCGAGATCTTGTTGTAATACTTTAAATCTATGAACCACATTTGGTTAAAACCCAGTGTTATTTGTCAGTTTTATGGTCCATGGCTCCCAGGTCAACATAAGAAAGGTATGCATATCTTTGCCCCACTCCCAATTAATAGAGACAAAAATGAAGGATTAAGACCGTTTTTAAAGTGAATGATACTGGATATACAGAAATCATTATGCCTAAGGAGAGATATTCTGTATGACATCAACTGAATTTATAATGGAAGTTTCCTCCTATTTTGAATCCCACCACTGTATTTCCTTTAGAACCATAGATCAGACAACTTCATTCAATAAGCTGAGCTAAATACACTCTCACAATGTTGGGAAATACAATTAACATGAAAATATTGATGACCGCATGGCCAAAGTCACATCTTGAGAAAAGTACTATAAATATACAGTATAGGGATAAGTACCTGAGTTTCAACATGAATGAAGCTAAGCATGGAGCATCTGCTGAATTTCATTCATGTGACTGGGATTGAGGTGATCTGATCTGGGAATGGTACTTTGCAGCCGAGTCAAATGAGCATTGTAGAGCGGATGTGTTAGAGAGGTGGCCAATACTTGCAGCTTTTAGAAGTAATTGTTGTATTCATCGCATAAATCTAATTTCCAGATTATTTCCAGTCACTAGTGTTGGAGTCCTGGAAACCTTGGTTCTTCAATCTATAGTTGTCTGACTATATCTGAACCACTGAAGCCAGGCATCAGGTTATAAAAACCATCTTTTAAGAGAGTGAGTTACTTACTATAAAACTCAGTTCCCCCTGACAGTGTGGGTTATGTTAGCTCCACACATACTGACCTGACCTGCCAGTGGGACCCAAATAACCAACACTTGCAACATCATGTAAATTAAGGCCAAGCTTACATTACTAAACCAAACAATAAGAACTGAGCAACTCTGCTTAAAAACTTTTTAAGTATGAAATGGCTGAAGCTGAAGCTATTGGTAGCTTCCTGTAAAAGACACTGCTGACTGGGAGGCATCTGTACAGCAGTCACATGTGGCTTGTGAGTGGTAATTTTTTTAACCCATTGTTTAAAGGTTATACAGGTAGTTCCAATGAAAGAGTATAACTAATCAAAGAATAATCTGTGCCACTAATGTTGAGGGTTTCCTGGGTCTCCAACCCACAGACTTAGTTATACAAGTGTGACTAAAACAGGGTATTAGGTCATAACACAGAATAATAAGGATAAATAATTATTCATCTTGAAATAATAAAAAAAAAAGATGATTGGCCTACTTCTAGGGCATTGGCTAGGTGCTGTTTCCTTTCTTCCAGCTGTAGCTTAGCGATGGTGAGCTCTGCCCGCTGACGAAGCAGCTGTTCCCGCACTGCCAGAGCCTCTGAATGAGCAATGACAAAATTATAAAATAATATCTTATCATATTAATATATGACTTGGATGCTCATACTATTGCAGCTGTACAGAAAAAAATCAACCATGTACATTTCCAACTGGCCACTGATTAGACTAAGAAGCATAAACATTCATATTCTACACAAACTGTACAAACATCAAGGGCAGATACAAATAAATCATAAGAGTCTACCTGGGTCCTGGAGATATATATATATATATATTCCATGATGATAAAAAGATAACCTGAAAAAAAGATACTTACACTTTTTCAATTCCTACAATGTCCTTCCTATAATAAATTTAGGTGGCTGGAGAGGTGCTCATCCCCTGATTCTTAGCCTTTAGAAGCTGGTGGGTAATTCTGCCCCCTTGGCGAGATGCTAGTCCACTGAAGGGATGTTTCACAATAACAAGTGCAACCAATAGTGTACAGTACTTATTTATATTCTTGGTCAGAGCATAAGGGTTAGTAGACAAGGGGGTAACTCATTCTTCTGCTTTGGTCAGGCATCAAACTCATGAACATTTGTTTGCAGGGAGAAAACTCTACCAACTGAGATATGGGGTCACAGTGAGCTATGGAGCTGTTGGGTTGATATATATTTGTGCATAATAATCTACAAATTTGTATTCGAAAAAAGCATATATACACAAAAGCATGTAAGTAAGCATCCTCAACATACTGTATACTGAACAAACATGGAATTCCCACGACCTAAGCTGTTGCACCGCCAGGGATGTTATCACCACAATCAATCAGTCAATCATTCATCAGGAGAAAATTATATTTAAAAGTCTCAAATTAGATCATGTTTTGGAGCCTATCTTAGACACTGTAAAATTTATTCACGTAAATGGGTAAATCTCACCAATATGTCAAGTGTTCGCTCCTCGGCCCAGACACACGTGAGGAGTGTGTGACCCTACCAAACATCACAGGTTTCCCAGTCCTCAGTGTCCTCCTGTACTAACATTAAATTGCCCAAATGGCTGATGAGCGGCAAAAACTATAAAAAAAAAAAAGACAACTCCCTGCTGATTTGCCCACTTTGCAGGTACAGTATAGTCTGCATTTATGCGGTCAATTGAACCCGTGGAGGTCCGCGTAAAGCGAGAAACGTGTAAACGAAATAACAGAACATATGGGATTAATTGAAATAGAGACTGGGCCGACCCCCAAACTCCACTTTTTCCGACACAATACATACGTTGTAGTAAAAATAACATCTTAATTTTATGATGGTATGCACACACAATTAATAATTAAGAGAAATATCAATAATATTAGGTTTTTTAACACTTACGTTAGTAGAAAAGCTGGGTCGGCACACGTGGATGGCGGCTGGTTCCGAGGCAGAGGGCAGATTAGTTGCCCCCCGGGGAATCACTTTCAATACTCGCAGAGGTTTGCAGGGCCTCCCAGACAAACCCCTCAAAGTCCATATCCTCACTGTCACTATCACTATCACTGACTTGGGCTGGCTGTGGTTGTGGTGGGTTGCGGGCGAGGAAGTCCTCAATACTACGTTGACGACTAGCATTGATGTTGTCGAGATAGATCTTGATATACGGCTCCATAACTTTCGTCAGATGGTTATTAGACACTTCATACCGATGCTTGTCTGGGTCATTGTCAAGGATGAGCTTAATTTTCTCCCCCAACGCAATGATTTCCTTCACATTATCATGGCTTGGTCCAGGTAATTCAAGGTTTTTCTCGGGTGGTGGGGGTCCAGCGGAAGCCATTGTGAGGGGAATAGCGGGCACAAGAGAACTGTATACGCGAACTGAGAACAATGAGACAGGCCCGGCTAGGTCAGCGACTTCTACCCTCTGGTGGCAGGGCACGTCATGATACATTAGACCAATCACAGCTAGCGACGAAGGGAATGCATGGGTGGTAAGGATGCGTGGCCCAATCACAGTCCAATATGTCATATGATGTCAGCGATAACGTAAGAGCGGCCTAATGCGCGCCACTTACCACGTATGGTCAAGAATGGACAGCGTGAGTTAAAAATGGCGCGGCAGTCTGGACCTCTCCAGCCGCTCGCCGCGTAAATGATGAAATTTACCGCGTAATTAAAACATTTCATTCTGGCAAGGTACCGCGTAAATGACCCAACGCGTAAACAAAAACCCCGTAAATCCAGACTATACTGTACAATAGATGGTTCTTGAGAATTTTTGTTTTTTAAAGCTGCAGGAACCAATGAAACTATAGTATTAATGTAATAAATGCACACAATACTGTACACTGAGCAATACAAATCCTGGGTGGGTTCTAGATTTAACATTTCTTGCTGATATGCTGTAGCATAGTGCAACTGGAGCCAGTACATGTCAAGTGTGTGTTACAGAAACATGACCGACCACTCAAGCAGCTAAGAGGCTGATCAATGGCGAAGTGGATAAAGCAAAGTACAGTGTCTTTGCATTCTGTCCTGGAGGTGCTTGGCAGTGGTTATGTCTTGCAGTCATTGATGAGGCTCCACAGGCCATCAATATGCAATAGTCCTTAACACTATTAACTAATATTAGGAAAAGACAAAGACTTTCAGCCATTACCTGGACTTACCTCTACGCCTGCTATGGTGCTGAGGGTCATTGTTGGTAGAGGCCCTCAGTCCCAGCTGTTCACAGGTAAGACAAAGCCAGCATGGGGGAGGGTCAGCATCTCCTAAATCAACACACTGACCATGATATATAACACCACACCCATCACACTGAACATCAGCACCTGAAGGAAGAGCAAAGTTCTGAACAAATAGTTACAAGAGTAATTAAAGAGTGTTGTCTGAAAAGCTTATGATAGAGTGCGGGCTAATTATTTGTATTATGTTTTTCTTCTTAACTAGAGGAAGCATTCCACCGGAGTCGAGTTTTGCTAAAATCTTGGTATCAGAGGAAGCACAAGATTCTGTAGCCATGTATTTCAGAAGTTTAAGTAAAATATAAGTGTTGAAGAGATTGGGATGTGATTCTTAGATCATAAGATTTATTTATGGCAAACTTGGCTATTTACCTTTTATTTTGCACATTGGGCATATCTCTTCTGATGGCTGAGATGATGCAGAAAATTCATCCTCTAAAGATTGTGGTGAGGCGGGTTGTGAAGGTGGGCAGGTGGTCAGAGGTGAACAAGAGGACTGTGTTGGGGAAACTGGACGAGACTGTGGTTGTGATGGGGGTTGGGACGGTGGTCGCACTTTACGTCGCAATGTAGGAGGTGATCCAGCACCCGAGGTGAGCCAAGCTCGACGTTTTCGACGCTACGGGATAAAGTTATGTGGTAAATTACATGCCATAGGCATATTCAGAATCATGAACATAAGGGAAGATGTTAAAATTGTGTCTTATTGCCATCATCATGCAGTACAGTATGCTCCTACTGTTGCAAAACCCAATCAAACAGCCTGGAAAATCTAATCCTATCAGGTTATTCAAGTTTCTTCAGAATATCAGTGGTCTATGGTAGTTTTTGTGTAACTCCATTAAACCAATAACTGGCTCCCACTTCAGGAAGTACGTAGGTCAATGATGCTCTTGCCCTGCCTCTTATTTTTGATTAAAACAATGTGCCACATGGCCTGGCACTAAAGAATTCCATGGTTAGGAAATATACTGCATCCCCAGACTGTGTCCACAGACTCCTGAGACCTAAACATAGGGCTAACTGGAGCAGCCTAATTTTCCAACCCTTCAACTCTTTTGCTTGCAGTCAAACAGTTGTCAGGCTGAATGAGAGGAGACAGACCTGTAAGTTTGTATCACCTGAGAGCTAAATTTAAAATATTTCATGTACAGTAGAAGGTTAGCCCCTTAAAGCCTATCTCAACTAAGGCATTCAAGTAAAGGTGAAAGCTGACCCTTCATAAGGACACCACAAATGCCTACTTAATATCAATATCAGGACAAATTGATGCAATAGAGTGGGGGCATACAATAAGTGAAAAGTTATAGGAGTCAGCTTCAACAGAATTAGGAAAAAATAAAAAATAATAAAAGAGAAAAGTGAAACAAAGAAAAAGTACTAAAGAATATACCATAACTGCTTGAGAATATGAAAAACATCACAATTACAACATTCGTGTACAGTATTTGGCTTGTACTTACTGTCTCCGGCTTTTCCCATATTGTACTTGAGAAAATGTGAGAATATGCATTACGCTTCCTTCTTTCATAACGTTTGGCCAGAACCTCCTCACATTCTCGCACTGTCAGTAAACCTGAAGTGAAAAAAAAGGGTACTGAACTAAGGTAAACAATGGTCCAGACTCTTCAGCTACTGATGATAATGTTAATGCAATATACAGTACTGTATATCACACCTTAAAATCGTATCTTAAATTTTCAGTAGGTGAAAAGCATGAGAGAGGCAATGATGGTATTCTTGTAAATCAGAAGTTGGGTAGTTGTGTAGATGGATACTGGGCAGTAAGTAAAAGTTCTCTTACACAGTTTTAGTGCTAAACCCATGAAAGAAATGATGTGGTACATACCAAGAGCATGCATGAATTCATCCTCTGTCACGAGATCATGTATGTCCTCCTGAGTATAGTCCGCAGTTGGTGGTTGAAAGTTATGTAATCGCTTTTCCGGAGAGTACCAGAAGCCGGTGGGACTGACTGGTCCACTTGAGTCATTTGCTTCCTCTGCAACACTGTCATAAACTAAAATTAATATTTAACTAGAAATATTCATCTGGGATATTATTGATCATTAAAAAAATAAAGGATTTAACTTGAAAATTACACTCTTTGAGAAAAAGGAGGAATTAAGTGATTTGTGAGATATCCTTCTCAGAACTCCTATTGGCCAGCATGGATCATTACAGTAAAAAGTGCCTAAAATAATGCTCGCCAGGTGAATCACTGGTTAATATGTGTACAGTATCTAATAAGATTCTAAGTACAGGTATACTGTATTATAAGTTCTATTCTGTATTCTTACACACTCCAACTGTTTTTACAATAATTAAAAATGCTTGGTAATTTTATAAAAAATAATATTAATTATACAAAACACGTTAATAATGCCATTTTTATTATGACAGATGACAAGTGTGTGGTACAAAACATAAACACCTGGTTGTAACTCACCCACAAACAGCAGGTTCTTCAAAATAATCGTCTAAACTGGCAACCTGTCCTTCTTCAGTGTAGTCGGAATAGGGCGGAGTGGACACTCCAGTACCTAAGACATTTGGTGAACTCTTACAGGATTGTGTTAAACCTTCTAGTGGAGGTTCCTTGGAAATTTTGCCTTCATGGTCTTGTGCGTCATGATTCAGCTGTTCGTCACACAGCAGATCTATGTCTTCCTTTCCTTCATCTTTGTGCAAGTCATTTTGCTTTTCATGCTTGGGCCGTTCATTGTCACGTTCTTCTCTAAGTCTTCCAACAACTAGTTTCTGGATCATGAGGGTTGAGGTAAGTGCAAATTACAATAAAATTTACTGAGATATCACAAGTAAAATCAAGAATATGTACTACTGGTATTATCATCATCATAGGAGTAAACACTGGCACAGTAAACTATCAATAGTGTATGAAGTTTTGTTCTCTGTTAAACTTAACTTCTGGAAGAAATTGAGATATATTCCTGAGCCAAAGACGCTTCTGCAATTTTCACATATGCTACTAAAACCCTGACCTAACATATTTTGTTAAACTGTACAGGTATAAGAGTATGACTTTAATTTAATTCAGGATATTTTCTTTAGCTCTGCTCACCCTACTTCCAGCTGTGAGTAACCCTCCTCCCCAATCCTCCACTGAGGAATTCTGTAGCTGTCATTGAACATAGAATCAAAGAAATGTGTTATGACTTTAAATGCAGACATGATTACCAATGTATGACAAGAATACATTTAAGATTTACCTGGCTCTCATTAATAGAGACAAGCTGACACAAAACATCTAAGATCTCCTTTTGTATTGATAAATTCTGAAAGATCAAAAGAGAAACACATTAACATTTAGATACAGTACAGGCGTGAATATTTCTAATACAGTACATACAAAATGTAAAGAAACAATTACTAATGAAAACATGAAAAACTAAATAACACAATACAGTGATACTAATGGTTCTTGGCTATACTGTTACTCTATATTTCTAGTACAGTATTGATGTCTCATAAAATTTATACCTGGTGTGATCTGGATTACCTCACTCTACAAAGCTGGATTACAAAGAGAGATAAGAAGAAAACTAAGAGTATTTGTCAGTAAAGTAGTTTTTGTGCTGTATCTTGAATATATTGTACTGTATTTACATAATGAAATACAGATAACTCATTATCCAAGGTATTAACATAATACCAAGGTGATAAAAAGGTTTGTTACATGAGCCTAAATATACTGTACAGTACACTGTATACTGATACAGTAAATAAAAAACTTGAGCACCATACCCAAGCCTACACCACCACCAATCACTACCACCACAACACCAACCATCACTACCACCACACCACCAACCATCACTTCGACCACACCACCACCACACTAAAAACCATCACTACCACCACACTACCAACCATCACTACCACCACACCACCAACCAACACTGCCACTACTACACCACCACCAACCATCACTACCACCACAAAACCAAACGTCACTTCCACCACACCACCAACCATCACTACCACCACAACACCAACCATCACTTCCACTACACCACCAACCATCACTACCACCACACTACCAACCATCACAACCACCACACCACCAACCAACACTACCACCATACCACCAACCATCACTGCCACTACTACACCACCACCAACCATCACTACCACACCACATCATCAAGACCGACCTTCCTTACCACGGAAATGTGATGTTGACATAATCTCTCATTAAGAAACATCAGCAAAGAAAAATTACCCAAATACTCACGTGGGGTTCCTCCTGCCGTCGTCCTATCAGAGCCTGTCAAAGTAAAGTATCGAGTGTTAACCTCTGCGGGTGGATTATCATACGATGTCCTCCATCACTACAGTGCATAAATATTAATTATTATACAAGCTTATGTTCTGCGGTGATGATGTAAAGGTACAAAATTAACCTTACTTCTACACATTATAAATATAAACTTAAAAACTTATATTACTGTTGATGTATATTATTTTACCAACGTTACCTTTCGCTTAAATAATAAAAAATACAGAAGTTAAAAATAATACATGTAAACTACAAGTATAATGTTGGGGTCGTGGGAATTTGTAAAAGGCAGGGGGGGTATAAAGTATTTATGGGGCGCGGAGCAAAGCTTTAATCTAATTGACCCATAATTGGTAGACAATCAATTATTAGTTGTTTGCAAGACGAAAAAATACACAGCGTAATTAGTCTCATCCACGCGTGTGGGGTGAGGCAGGCATAATATAAAGCGAGTACAATACAAGGCTTATTATTACTCGCAATCTCTAGTAATCGGGTCACGCAGTACACAATCTCGTTCTTTAAAGTTTTCTCTATTCATTTATCAGTTATGCCATTTTTCCGACTATTTTCATCGTTATCCTCCATAATGCTGCCCATCCTCCCCACCACAGTCCCTCCACCTCTTTCTCGGCCTCCCAAGGGACCGTATTCCCTAGATGTAATACCCGGTGAAACAATCTTCGGTATTCTCGTCTCGATCATTCTTGCCACATAATCGACTCATCCATGTAACTTATCATAGGCTGCTGGGTGTTCTAGTCCATCTATTCGTCATTTCTTCTCCATGCATTTCTATCTTAAGTACTGTATTGGATTTTCAAAACATGGAATTTCTTGTTTCGCGTATTCTGCACCACAAAGTCAATGTCATTTACTTTCACTGTTCAATATTCTACCATCTGGTCCCTGCGTTACTGTCCTTACCATAACAAAGTTAAATAAGGGCGAGAAGATACATCTTTACTTCTATTACTGTTGAAATGTAGATCCTAATTTCAGAAACATTTGTTAATCGTTATTGATGGAACATTCACAACGTAGATTCATTGAGTTAAATGACACCCTTAAATAATTTAGTATTTAAACAGATATTTGATATTGCCGTATTCTAGATATACTGAACGGAAATCATGAATGTACTGTAAGTCTATATATAGTAAGAGCGAACAGCGGACGATATTAATACAGTACGGTGAATAAGGCACTACGAGAATGTCTCCACAGTAGTTTAATAAAACCTTCCTTTAATAAGAACCGAGCTAAAACATTTACCTTTGATGTTCTGAGTGGAGGGTTAACTGGCCATGAAATAAAACAAATACAGTATATTCTTAAACCCGCACTTCCCTTGTCCTTAATCTACGCACTTGAGTTTATTTACATGATAAATATGAAGTACAATATGGCCGCCATATCACCCTCGCCAACTAGGTGAAAGTACAGTAGCTCTTACGTAACATAATATCGCGAGAAAAGGTGGACATGTTCGCGCATTACATTTCAGATGCCAGAAGTAAAAGCATACAGGGTATCTCGGAAAATTTGTTCTACATACATCCTTGCATATTTTCGTGAAGGCATGATTGTATGTAACTTGTTCTCTGTTGATGTGTGAGGTCTCCCATGCTGCATGCACAAGTGAGAACAATGTTGATGTACAGTAATACAAACGTTCACGAATCCTCTACAAAAATCTGTAAGGCAGTGTGTATACAGTTTTTGACACCCTGTACTGGATATAGTATATACGTCACTTAGCAGTATAACTCTTATCATTGGTTAATCTCCGGTTGTTTGAAAATGATGCAACACAATAATATACTGCAAGAGTTGGCTACAATTCAATATCATAAATAGTCGGAATTCTTGCTCGGGTTTTAAGGGGAGAAGTCCTTTGTGATACCGGGTTGTACCGGTGGGAAGGCTTGGGTTGGGTGCACGGACTGAGCAAATAGTTTTCTCAGTGAGGGAATCTGCTCTCTGCTCTAGTAAGTCAGGATTTCACTTAAAATATTTTAACCTACGCAGCTTAAACAAAAGAGCATCGACTGTGCTACTCGCATTTTTGAGTTATCAAAGCAGCCATTATAAACATACATACATACATACATACATTCATACACACACAGAGATGTGATGGAGACATTCTTTGATGCTTACACGAGTTTGACGCAGACCTAAAGCTGAACGGCTGTAGCGAACCCAAGTGACGACAACAATGGAATAAAGTGGGCGAGCCGACCCGGAGTGATGTTTGGTAAGACACGCCTCTCATAAGACACACTCCTCTTTAAACCTGACTCGTCCGTCGCTTGGGTTAAATACTTTTTTTCTCTATAACTCGGGATGAGAGAAGGCATTTAATTACGGTACAGTCGGACTGAAACTACGACGTAATTTAAGTTTTCAGAAAGCAGTTTATATCACCAGTTACAGGATACATAAAAGAGAGAGAGAGGGGGCATCCTGTCCTGGTAAAGAAATGCTGCTGATACAGAGACTCTTGCACCTGATGCCATACATGACGACCACCTGAACACAACTTCTGGTGGTCCAGCAGAAATCACGGGGCGTGTAAAAAATATTCATGAAAAAGAGATGAATCGTGTACAGTTCACAGCAATAATAATAAGTAATAATTTCATTAATATGATATCATGCTACATATATCATTAACCACAAACACTGGAAATAATGCTACAATAATATACAATTTTCTTCGGAGAGTAAAATATATAAATAATCTCAAACGTCCATATTTTTTTTTACATCAATGATTTATATTTTCCACCATCCCCACACACACTCAGTTATCCCTTGGTATGTGTGTTGGTTAAAAAATCACCAATAAAAAGTAAAGGTGTAATTTTTTATCTATTTGTTTTCTTCATTTTTGTACCTGTAAACAACGTATTTAATCATTTCAATTTCAATATAAGGTTAGGAATTTTGAAACATGAGCATGTAAGCAGGAGGGCTCACGAGAAGTATTGACCTTGTTAACTGAAGGTTGCTAGAAATATTTTACACACGCGACCAAATTTACGGTGTTGTGAGCAAACTGTTTGAAATACTGTACCTAGTGGAGCGTGTTTGAGTTCTGCGATGTCACCCTGGTTATTTGTCGGCTCTATGCATGGATCAATACGTGAAATGAAAGCAATAACTTGTGACTGTGAAACTATTATATAAAAAAACAAGGTGAGTGGAAACTGTTGGTGTATTGTGTGTGGGCTGACAAGTACAGTATAGTTAAAATTGGGTTAGGGTTATGTGCTTCAAGTGAAAGATGAAGTGTTTTTCCCAACTCAGGTGTAATGGACGTGCAACTCTGACAGGCTATTATTTCACAGCAACGACAGATCACGACTGAGCAGCAGGAATTCGGAGAAATGATAAAGAAAGGAATGAGGAAACGTGTGGGATGTAAAGGTGTCTGGACTCTGGAGATACGAGTGGATAATGTTTATGTTAAGTGAGGTACTACTTAGAAATGATTTATGGCAGCACAGATGGAAGACAACGACGCCAGGACACCGACAAAGAGATAAAGAGATTCTATATGGGTGGGTTTGTGAGAAGTCTCGAGGTTCAATGTTATAATACAAGAAGAATGATGGTGATTCCTGGGTACTGAAGGGGATATCCACGTCATTCTATTTCCATTAGAACTAACAGTGAATTCTCCTTACGACTCTTCTTTACTCATTTTATCACTATTTGTATTCACATTCATTACCAACTTTCTCATAGCACACATTCTTCCAAGCTCAGTCACTAACATCTTTTTCTGGCAATCGTTCACTAGACCAGTGTGTTATACATAGATCAGCTGACTACTAATCTTCCATTTGCATCCTGTGTCACCGCTCACCAAGCCTGCTTCTGTCACTTTTGCTTCAACCTCTTATTACCCCGCCCGTGACAATATAGTCCATTACCCTCCTCAATATGAGCCAGCTAGCCTGTGTTTAAAAGTAATAATAGTCGTATAATATTCACAAGAGCTTTCATAAAATCCTAACTAGCTTACAGATATCCTGACAACAGCGACAGATGCATCAATCCTAACTCAACCTAACTCTGGTGAACTGTGTATAACGCCAGATCCGCATGACTTGACGCCCTAGGAACACTCGTATATTCCAATGGGTCAGACAAACTTGAGTACAGGCCATACTGTCAGAGCGCATCCTCATGTGTACTTTCCCCTAGTTAATGAGAAAAGAATCGGGGGCAGGTTCTGAAGGATAGTTCTAAACTTCGATGAAAGTTTGGTTGAGTCGGGTGGGGAGGGGGGGGGGCAGGATTAAGAGCCAGTATGTTAATTTCCTCCTAAAGAACCAGACTGGTTTATCATACTGTACAGTAGGTCAGAGCAGACAATAAATTTACATGACCCGGAGGAGAAAATCACAAAAATAACATGAAGGATGATTATTAGTAGGGGAGAGACTAAAAGCATACAGTATGTTTAAATACTCAATTAAGATATAAAAATAATCCCGCTCATTCTCTCATGTCTCTCCAGTGTACAACATATAACTACCGCTTGTTGCCACTATGAAGACTGAAAACTTGAAAAAGGGTTGGGCGCTAAATACGAGTCGTATTTAGTAGGCAGCTACCAAACAGAGAGGTACTACCGCCAGGGAAGATATTGGAAGCATAATGTGTTGTCTAATGGTAGACCCTGCTGCCATATGGCATCACGAAAATTGTGACCAAGTCCCAGGTTGCTGATCTGACTTTCTGCCCCATTTACACACAATTGCAGGGTCTCAATTGTTTCTCTTACAATTGACAACACAACATACATATACTGTATTGTTTCTCACTTTTGATCTTTTTTTTCATTTTTGTATTTATTATTATTATTATTATTATTATTATTATTATTATTATTAGCATCATTATTAGCATCATTATTTTATTTTTTATTATAAATTTTATTTTTATTTACTATGAATTATTATTATTATTAC